CCTCCTGCTTCTTTTCCATGTGCACCTCCCGTTCCCCCTGGTCGCGGCAAGCAACTCGATTTTCCTCGGCGCCGTCGCCGCGTCGGCCAGCGCGCGCGCGTTTGCCGACGGCTAGATCGCGAAGCCGTCGGGGCAACCCTTCGGGCCAGGTCGTCGGGGCAACCTCGCAGGCCGCAGGGGCGTGGGAGCCAGCCGTTGGGACAACCCCGCGGGCCTCTAGGCGCGCGCCGCGGCGCTCAGGCGGGCGGCAGCGCGAAGCCCAGCTCTGCCGCGAGCTGCTCCGCCTCAGCCCTGGAATCCACCGCTCTCTTGTCGAACTCCTGGAGCGCCTTCCGCAGCGACGCCGGCGGCCCGCGCTCCAGGAACTCTCGCGCGGGCGGCCGCAGGATCAGCATGTTCCGCATGCGCGTGGCGCGGGAGAACATGACGTAGAGGTGCAGCCACCACATCTCGTCCGACATGCCCGTGCGGCCAGCGTCCTCATCCCTGGCGCAGTCGACGGTGACGCCCTTGCGCAGCGTCTGGCCCTGCGACAGCGTGGAGGCCAGGTTGGACGCATGCGTCAGGGTGAACCCCGAGCGGCGCACAGCGTGCGCCCCCGAGCTTTGCCACGTGAGCTCCTGCTCGCTGGGCCTGAACATGAGCAAGCTCCTCGCCCGCGCTTCGGCCTCGCCGTCGTCGGCAGCGCCATCGGCGCCCTGCAGCAGCACCTCGGCGACCTCCTTGTAGATCGGGGACTCCTGGAAACCGTGCACCTGCAGCCAGATTCCCTGCGGTAGGAAGCGGGGGCGGAAGAGCTGGCCCGGCGCGCACTCCTCGTAGTCCCGCTCGTCGTCTGCGTGAAACTCGAAGGACACGATGGTGGCCCGTTGCTCCTGCACGAGCCCCAACTTCTTCTTCAGCTCCTCCTGCACCGGCCGCTCGGATTAGTAAGATGATCTGCGGGCCCCGTAAGGAGGGGGCTCCCGTCTGAGACTTCCTTGCAATTCACTCACAGACGAGGCTCCCGCCTGATACTTCCTGCATATTCAAGCCTCAGAAGCCCAAAAGTGACGACAGTTACAGGGTTCCGATGACCCGCTCGGATTAATAACATGATCTGCGGGCCTCATAGGGAGGGGGCTCCCGCCTGAGACTTCCTCGCAATTCACTCACAGACGAGGCTCCCGCTCGAGACTTCCTTCATATTCAAGCCTCAAGAGCCCAAAAGTGACGACAGTTACAAGGTTCCGATGGCCCGCTCGGATTAATAACATGATCGGCGGGCCCCATAAGGAGGGGGCTCCAGCCTGAGACTTCCTCGCAATTCACTCAGAGGCTCCCGCCTGATGACAAAATAATGAGTGAGCGAATGCCAGAGGCGTGCTAAGATCTCCGGTAACTGGTTAACAATTTTCTAGTTCGCGCGCGCGGGGCGGCCCCTGGGGGTCCCCGGACGAAAAGTACCCCGACCAGGTCCCGGCCAGGTCCCCCCGAGCGCTCCATGAGCGCACCAACAGGGCTCCGAGACGTCCCCGAGAGCCCCAAGAAAGCCCAAGAGGCCCCCAAGAGGCCCCCAAGATGGTACACGAGGGGTCCGACATGCCACAAGATCGCTCCAAGACGCCCAAGATAGCCCCCAGACGCCCCAAGAGGCCTCCAAGAGCACTCCCAATAGGGCCCCCGGAGGCAAAAATCATTGTTTTTCCATAGGTTTTTGAGAGATTTTGGAGCTTCCACCTTTTCGGCTTCCCGACGCCCCAAGACGGCCCAAGAGGCCCCCAAGATCGCCCCAAGAGGGCCCAAGAGGCACCCAAGAGGGCCCCAAGATGGCCCAAGAGGGCTCGAAGACGGCCCAAGAAGCCTCCAAAACGGTCCAAGAGGGCCCCAAGAACGCCCCCAAAGGGGCCCCAGAGAGGGAACACGAAACAACATTTCGAGCCCTCGGCCCTAAGAAGCCCCTACGAGGCCCCTAAGAGGCCCCAAGAGGCCCCCACGGGGCCCTCAGGAGGCCCCCAAGAGTCCCCCAAGCGGCCCCAGGAGGCCCCCCAAATGCCCCCCCGAGCGCCCCAGGAGTCCCCCAAGCGGCCCCAGGAACCCCCAAAGCGCCGCATTGACACCAGGCCCTCGGGCAAACGGCAGACATGAGACTGTATGGGCCGGCGGAATGAGCGAAGCGATTAAATAATGAGTGAGCGAATGATGATGATGAGTGTGTGATGAATGAGTGATGATGATGAATGAGTGATGATGATGATGATGATGATGATGATGATGAGGATGAGTATGATGAGGATGAGTATGATGATGATGATGGCCACTGGGTGGGTGATCGAGAGATTATGATGGAGATGGTGACGATTATATTGAGAGTGGCGGCGGTCCTACCGTCGGAGGACCACTGCCTCCGAAGCCTACTGAGGATGAGTGAGTAATTGAGTGAGTGAGTGGGTGATCGAGTGGTGATGATGGTGACGATGATGATGAGGATGATGATGATGATGACTCGTGATGACGGTGATGGTGGTTGATGGTGATGAAGGTGGTAATGATGATGCGTGTGTGCGTGTGATGACGGTGATGGTGGTTGATGGTGATGATGATGGCGATGATGGTGAGTGAGAGAGAGAGAGAGAGAGAGGAAAGGGGGGGTGTGAGATCCTGCGCGGCGTGTGCAGAGAAAACAAGAACCCCACTTTGGATGTGGGGAACAAAATCAAGCAACAGCAACAACAAAAGCAAAGCAAAAGCAACAGCAAAAGCAAAAGCAAAGGCAAGGCAAAGCAAAAGCAAAACCAATGCGAAAGTGTAGATGTGGATGTAGATGTAGGTGTAGATGTAGATGTGGATGTAGGTGTAGATGTATATGTAGATGTAGCTGTAGGTGTAGATGTAGGTGTAGATGTAGATGTAGATGTGAGTCTCGCTGTTGATGTTGATGTAGATGTAGATGCGGGTGTAGATGTTAATGTAGCTGTCGGTGTAGATGTAGATGTTGCTTTCCTAGATGCTCCAACTCCTAGGTAGGGTCGCACTGGGAGAATGTTCTTAGAACATTGTTTGGTAGGGCTATAGGCGAGCCAGGACGCTTCGCCATTGCTTGATTTTGACGGCCCCAAGGGCCTCCCCCAGAGGCCAAAGCCTGCGAAAAATGTCCGCGCCGAGTTTCTCGAGACGTTGGGGGTCCCGGGGTTCTCTTCGCTCGGCCTGTGGGGAAGGTACGCGGCCGCCAGCTCCGGCCAGCTGTTCGTGAGCGGGGTGTGCAGCAGGCACAGGTCGACCTGTTTCAGGCCGAGCTCCGCCAGGCTCGCGCGCAGCGCCAGCCGCTCGCCCCCCTTGCTGAGGAAGGACACCTTCGTCGTCACGAAGACCTTTGATCTGTCGATCCCGCTGCGCCTCAGAGCTTCGCCAACCGCCTGGTGGTTTCCATAGAGCGCTGCCGTGTCGATGTGACGGAAGCCCGCCTGAAAAAGAGAGACACCGACACTCACACTCGTCTTTGTTCTCCCTCCCCTTCAGTGGGACCCTCCGCCCAGCCAACGCACCCCAAACCATCAGATCCCTCGAGCGTACCCTCCCCCAGGTTGCACAAGAGCATCCAACAGACACGAATAACACCAGGGTACTCCAGAACTCGTAATAAAAGGGAGGGGGTCTGGACCCTCCAAGACAAGCCATTTCAGACCTCCCCCGTGGGAGAACCCTCCAAAACATCGTCTCCAGACCCCCCAGGCCCTCCAAGATAGCCTGGAAGAGACCCCCCCCGAAATGAACCCCCCCTCCCTTTATTACGAAATCTGGAGTACCCTCCCCGGACCGACCTCGATCTTACACCTCGGCCCGGCCGCAGTCGAGGACGAGGGGCTTGGCTGGGGGCGTAGAAGCCCCGGCCAATCACACGGTAACAGAGCGGGGCACTCCGGAGCGGGCCTCGCCTGGATAGTCACACGGCCAGAAGTGGGCAAGCCTCCAAGAGGACGTCCCCGGAGGCCCCCCCCAGAACCGAAAACCTTCCCCGAGTCGCCCTCGACCCTCGGACCTCGACCCCTCCCAGAACAATCCGTCCAAGACCCGTCCCCGGGGTCCCTCCCAGCCAGTCCTTCGGGCCAGGCCCGGCCGCGGCGACAGGCACACCCAGAACCTCCCCCCCCCCGCCACGCCCCAACAGAAAAACAGGCACGAAAAAAGAGGAGGAGGAAGAGGAGGAGGAGGAGAAGGAGGAGGAGGAGGAGGAGGAGGACGAAGAGGAGGAGGAGGAGGAGGACAAAGAGGAGGAGGAGGAGGAGGAGAGGAGGAGGAGGAGGAGGAGGAGGAAGGGGAGGAGGAGGGGAGGAGAAGGAGGAGGAGGAGGAGGAGGAGAAGAAGAGGAGGAGGAGGAGGAGAAGGAGGAGGAAAAGGAGGAGGAGGAGGAAGAGGAGGAGGAGGAGGAGGAGGAGGAGGAGGACGACGACGACAGTGTCGACGACGCCGACGTGGGCGTCGGCGGCTTCCGCCTCCAGCGCCGCGACTATGGTCGTCACGTTGTGGATGTGCGCGGTGCCGTACCCCAGGGCGGGCACCGACCCACCCCCCTGAGGCGTGAAGCGCACGCCGCGCGGCGGAGCCATGGGGAGGCGGAGGAGGAGGAGGAGGGGCGGGCTGAGCCTTTTTCTGTTCTCCTGCTACGCTTAGGTCGGACATGTCCTGCTGCAGGCGGATACTGGAGGGAAACGATTAAGCATGCAAAAAAGTATTCAATCATATTTCAAAAACAGTCCAACATATCGTCCCCATACTAAATCTTGACTGTGTTTGAACATGCCTCCTGTAGAAGGACATGCCCGACGCAATGCGCTACGCCCGCCAAGCGTAACTTCTTGGCCTGCAGATCCACGCCGGCATCGTCTCACTCTTCCCCCTGCCCCACTGCACTGGAAGAGCGCAGCGGCCAAGATGCTCACGCATGGCCAGCGCCAGAGAAAAAGGAGGCCCGGGGAGGGCTGGCGGCGCGCCGCCCGAGCCCGTTCGGCGCCTGAGCCCCTGCGGCCGCCGAGGGGGGGCAGGGGGCGGAGCCCGCCAGGCCGCCGAGCGCGCCAGCTTCGCACACCTCGCGGTCGGAGTCGAGCACGCTCCGCGGCCGAGCGGGCTCCGTCGCCGAGTGGGCGGGCGGGTGAAGCGGGGGGCGGGGAGGCCATCTTGGTTGCCTTGGAGCCCGCCTCGGCATCTTGGGCATACCCTGGGGGTCCCCGGGGTGCTGCTCTGGAGGCTCCAGAGGTCCCAAGGGTGAGTTTAGCAGCCCGGCGAATCCCCCGTTCCCCTCCCCTCGAGCGCGAGCGTGGACCCTGGGGGAGTGGGCTCAGTCGCTGGGCTGGGTGGGCGGCCGCGGTGAAGCGGGGCGGGGGGGGGGGCGGGGGGCGGCCTACTAAGGAGCACGGGGGGGGGCTTCTTAGAAGGCAGGGCCTCTGCGAAGCCCTCTCAGTTCCTAAGGTGACTTCGCGGAAACCCCCCAGGCCCTTCTGACCGGGCCCTGCCTTCCAAGAGAAGCTCCCTGCCTTAGGTGTGGGCGGCCCCCCTCGTCGTGCCAGCCACATGTGCGCGCCGCTAAGCGAGGGGCAGGAACACTGGTACGACCGAAGAGGGAACGGACAAACATGGTGGCGATACCCAGCAGCACATAATGTCCATACGGTCGGACCTGGAGCATCATAGCCTCCTTCGAGTAGAAGAGGAAAAATACTAAGAATAATGAGACCGGAGAAAAAACCCAACCCCAATCAGGGCTATAGGGCTGGGGGGCTATAGGGCTATAGGGCTATTGAGCTGTAGGGCTATAGAGCTATAGGGCTATAGAGTTGTAGGGCTATAGGGCTATTTGGGCCATAGGGCCATAGGGCTATAGGGCTATAGGGCCTAGGGCCTTAGGGCTATAGGACACCCTTGGGCCCCCCCGGGCGCCTCCGGGCACCCGGGCACCCGGGCACCCCCGGGCACCCCCCGGGCACGGGGGCCCCGGGCACCCCCCGGCTCCCGGGCACCCGGGCGTGCAGTGAAAATCGGCGACAAACCTAAACTAACCATATGTATCCGCTAGGACCCCTACAGAGGCAAGCTCTGATTGGGGAATAAAAATAGTTATAGGAACAATACGAATAATACCACGCACACGATCAATAGTAGTCATAATCGTAACCATACTCATAACAATCAACATAATACTAATATTAGGAACGCCAGAAACGCCATACACACAAACTGTTGGCGTTCCGCGCGAAATTTTGTTAATGGAGTTGTCATTTCCTCGATCAAGAGCATGAGACCCTCCGCCGGGACAGAAGAACCATCCTTCGGGGTGCCCCTCCCCAGGATGAAGCTGCTGTCGGTCTTCGTCCCCGTTCTTCTCGCCTCCATTTCGCTCCTCCCGATCGCGCCGGGAACAACATCACGGTGGGATGTGCTTGGCCACTCTTCGGCCTCCCGTGGAGCCCTTGCCGGAGTGCCCCGCCCGGGAGAGGAGGCCCAGAGAGAGGACGAGCAAAAACGCCGGGGAGGGACGCCGCGGACTCGACCGGCCCTGCTCCGACGTGGGGAGCCCGCGACCCCCCTCGGCGGAGACCCGCGGGCCCCCCGCGGACTCCGGGGAGGAGGCGCAGGAGGAGGAGGAGGAGGAGGAGGAGGAGGAGGAGGAGGAGGAGGAGGAGGAGGGGGAGGAGGAGGGGGGGAGGGAGGAGGAGGAGGAGGAGGAGGAGGAGGGAGGAGGAGGAGGAGGAGGAGGAGGAGGAGGGGAGGAGGAGGTAGGAGTAGGAGTAGGAGTAGGAGTAGGAGTAGGAGTAGGAGTCAAGCTAGCCAGCTCGAGCGAGTCAAGCATGGCATGCCCAGTCCCACCCGCCCTCCCACAACATAAGAAGCAAAGCTGGCACAACTGGGGGCCGAAGTCACACCGGCCAGCCGGTTTGGTACAGCTGATGCGGCCGCGATGGCGGTTGCCGACGGGAACTGGCGAGCGCGTGTTGAATGCCGCGCACGCATTGCCAGACGAGTCGAGAATGGCCCGGTACACCGCAGGAAGCCAGAGGTGGCCGGAGGAAGCCCGACGGTCTGACAGGACACCCCAAAGCATTTTTGTGAAAAAGCATTGGGTTTTTGATGTTTTTATGTTGAAATGCTTGCAAACACACGGTGTTCGGTAGGATTCTGACATGAACGCGCGAGTGTGCTCTTTGTGGTATTTTTTGCACAGGATTCGCGGCCTGGGTGCATGACAGAGCATCGCGAGTGCACCGCGCGATGACGTGAAATCGCTGGATTCGACCGAATTCTTAAGATTCCTATGGTTTTCCTATGATTTCAGCAAGAGAGCCCGGGCGGGAAATTTGTACAATTTTTGTGAAAAAGCATTGGGTTTTTGATGTTTTTATGTTGAAATGCTTGCAAACACACGGTGTTCGGTAGGATTCTGACATGAACGCGCGCGTGTGCTCTTTGTGGTATTTTTTGCAATGGATTATCGCCGTGGACGACAGGACGTCCATGTCGAGAGGAAAAAATAAGAAAATGTTGATTTTGTATTGTTTTTTACAGGTTAGGATGGGACCACCCGGATGCGGCCCCTAATGGCCGGCCTGAGGGGGGAGTAGGAGTATATTCTAATAAGGAATAAGGATAGGAGTCAAGCTAGCCAGCTCGAGCGAGTCAAGCATGGCATGCCCAGTCCCACCCGCCCTCCCACAACATAAGAAGCAAAGCTGGCACAACTGGGGGCCGAAGTCACACCGGCCAGCCGGTTTGGTACAGCTGATGCGGCCGCGATGGCGGTTGCCGACGGGAACTGGCGAGCGCGTGTTGAATGCCGCGCACGCATTGCCAGACGAGTCGAGAATGGCCCGGTACACCGCAGGAAGCCAGAGGTGGCCGGAGGAAGCCCGACGGTCTGACAGGACACCCCAAAGCATTTTTGTGAAAAAGCATTGGGTTTTTGATGTTTTTATGTTGAAATGCTTGCAAACACACGGTGTTCGGTAGGATTCTGACATGAACGCGCGAGTGTGCTCTTTGTGGTATTTTTTGCACAGGATTCGCGGCCTGGGTGCATGACAGAGCATCGCGAGTGCACCGCGCGATGACGTGAAATCGCTGGATTTGACCGAATTCTTAAGATTCCTATGGTTTTCCTATGATTTCAGCAAGAGAGCCCGGGCAGGAAATTTGTAGAACGTTTGTGAAAAAACATTGGGCTTTTGATGTGTTTATGTTGAAATGCTTGCAAACACAAAGTGTTCGGTAGGATTCTGACATGAACGCGCGCGTGTGCTCTTTGTGGTATTTTTTGCAATGGATTATCGCCGTGGACGACAGGACGTCCATGTCGAGAGGAAAAATAAGAAAAATGTTGATGTTATATTGTTTTTCCCCACATCCAAAGTGGGGTTCTTGTTTTCTCTGCACACCCCCCGCGCAGGATCTCACACCCTCTCTCTCTCTCTCTCTTCCTCTTTCTCGCCATCATCATCATCAGTCATCATCATCATGACCCACGCCTCTCCTCCTCAGCACCATCACACTTACCCATACACCACTCGATCGCTCACTCACTCACTCACTCACTCACTCATCATGATCATCACATGAGGATATCATCCGTTGGCGTCACACATCACTCAGTCAGTCCGTCACTCACTCGAGTATCAAGCGAGAGCGTCGTCTGTGAGTGAATTGCGAGGAAGTCTCAGGCGGGAGCCTCTCCCTATGGGGCCCGCAGATCATCTTACTAATCCGAGGCGGGTCATCGGGATCCTGTAACTGTCCTCACTTTTGGGCTCCTGGGGCGTGAATTTGGAGGAAGTATCAGGCGGGAGCGTCGTCTGTGAGTGAATTGCGAGGAAGTCTCAGGCGGGAGCCTCTTCCCTATGGGGCCCGCAGATCATCTTACTAATCCGAGGCGGGTCATCGGGATCCTGTAACTGTCGTCACTTTTGGGCTCCTGGGGCGTGAATCTGGAGGAAGTATCTAGCGGGAGCCTCGTCTGTGAGTGAATTGCGAGGAAGTCTCAGGCGGGAGCTTCTCCCTATGGGGCCCGCAGATCATCTTAGTAATCCGAGGCGGGTCATCGGGATCCTGTAACCGTCGTGACTTTTGGGCTCCCGGGGCGTGAATTTGGAGGAAGTATCAGGCGGGAGCGTCGTCTGTGAGTGAATTGCGAGGAAGTCTCAGGCGGGATCCTCTCCCTATGGGGCCCGCAGATCATCTTACTAATCCGAGGCGGGTCATTGGGATCCTGTAACTGTCCTCACTTTTGGGTTCCTGGGGCGTGAATTTGGAGGAAGTATCAGGCGGGAGCGTTGTCTGTGAGTGAATTGCGAGGAAGTCTCAAGCGGGAGCCTCTCTCTATGGGGCCCGCAGATCATCTTACCAATCCGAAGCGGGTCATCGGGATCCTGTAACTGTCGTCACTTTTGGGCTCCTGGGGCGTGAATTTGGAGGAAGTTGCCAAGGTCAGAATGCGGGGGGGTGAATTTGGTGGCATGAGGTGACTTTTTGGTTCCTGGGGCCCGCAGGGAATCTGGCTGCATGTGCACGGCTTCCAGGAGTCCCCGATCTACAAGGAGGTCGCCGAGGTGCTGCTGCAGGGCACCGAAGGCGCTGACGACGACGGCGAGGCCCAGGCGCGGGCGAGGAGCTTGCTCATGTTCAGGCCCAGCGAGCAGGAGTTCACGTGGCAGAGCTCGGGGGCGCACACTGTGCGCCGCTCGGGATTCACGCTGACGCACGCGTCCTACCTGACCTCCACGCTGTCGCAGGGCCAGCCGCTGCGCAAGGGCGTCACCATCGACTGCGCCAGGGATGAGGACGCTGGCCGCACGGGCATGTCGGACGATATGTGGTGGCTGCACCTCTACGTCATGTTCTCCCGCGCCACGTGCATGCGGAACATGCTGATCCTGCGGCCGCCCGCGCAAGAGTTCCTGGAACGCGGGCCGCCGGCGTCACTGCGGAAGGCGCTCCAGGAATTCGACGAGAGAGCGGTGGACTCCAGGGCTGAAGCGGA